TGCTGTAAGCTTGGATGTGCAGGGGGGTGTAATAGATAATGGCTCGAAATTGTTAATCGGAGAGCGGGGTTTCGATTTCAGTTGGCTTCGTTGCATTCACTTATGCGCAAGTAGCCATGGGACAGGTATAGATCCACCTCTTCTCCCCCAGCTATGGGTTAAATCTTAAGTCTTGCATTATCTTAAGAAAATTCTTACAATCTAAAAATATATTTTCTGGGTTTCACCTGCAAAAGAAAAGGATCCAATAAATGTATCAGACAGAAACTTATTAAAATTAAATACTTATCCTAATAAGATCACGTTTCAAAATTTAATTACAGCAATAAAAGCAGATCTATTATAAAGCATTTGGACACCTCGAAATGGTGTAATTATTAGCAAGGTTGTCTCTCTAGAAAAATTATGACTGAGCACTGAGTTCGATCCTCACTGGGTGCCCCATACTTTCGGCCTTGTGCCACAGCTACGCTTGGACAATCACTATATCCAGTTAACTGATATTTCTTGGGCTCCTCAAGGCGGTGTAATGGTTAACAAGTTTGTCTCGCTTGTATCAATTACGACTGAGTAGTGAGTTTTTGATCCTCACTGGGTGCTCTCTTACATTCGGCCTTGTGCCACATCCAAGCTACGCTTGGAAAATCACTTTGGGCACCAGGAGGCGGTGTAATTGCTAGCAAGCTGCTCTCGCTAGAACAATTACGACTGAGTAGTGAGTTCGATTCTCACTGGGTGCCTCCCTAACCTCGGCCTTGTGCCACATCTAAACTACGCTTGGAACATAACTATATTTGTGGCACTCCGACGTGGTGTAATATTTAGAAACCTTGTCTTGCTAGATCAGTTACGACTGAATAGTGAGTTCGATCCTCACTGGGTGTCCCATACTTTCGGCCTTGTGCCACATCTAAGCCGCACTTAGAAAATCACTAAAACATTTAATAGCAAAAAAAAAAAAAAAGGTTCCTATATTGATCCCCAGAAACGCCCAGTTGGGGGTAAAAAAAACTTCTATTATTCAGACATTCCACGTCTTGTTTTCGTTGCACGACAGATGTTGAAACCGACCCGGAAAGATGTTCTACCTACCCATTATATTTAGTGTGTAATATATAAATTCAGATGTTTGGTGTGATGCTGACTATGTAGGCAGGACCAGTGAAAAGTTAGAAATCCTGATCCACCAACACTTACCAGCCAATATTCACATGTTGATAGATGGGCAATTTCAGAAAGTGCTTTAATATATCATTTTCAACTATGACTGAACATTTAATACTGCCTTAGTCACATGTCTTGTTTTTTTTTATTCACCAAATTTTTAAAGTACTTGGAATTCCTCGCTGGCAAATTGTTTATTTTGCTCCCTTCCACTACTCTCCTGATTTAGTGAGTGGGTGGTGGTGGTGAAGCACACGGTGTTGTAGCTCAGTTGTTTTGAGAAGCAAATGCCAATGGATTGTCCATTTTCGGTAATCCGAGGTGACTAGCTCGGAGTTAATTAAAAACCAGCAGCGTGTGCAGTCTTTCTAACAGAGAATCGGATCAGCTCGATAAAAAGACTCCGAGTTGGATGTATGTGGTGCTGTTAGCTCCAAGAGTTGCGTCCCCTTCCACAATGGGCTCTTGAGAGAAGACCTTCTACTTAGTGTAGGTGGCGCTGACTATTTGCATATGAACGATACTGGTCAGGTGTTAGCCAATAGTCAACGTGGGGTCTGGCACTGGAAGAGGTATATAACACCAGATTTTTTATCAGTCGAGTGAGGCTAATACAGTCTTTTGTCGTTCCCGGTCCTTTCTTTAGTTATCATTCAAGCCGTGATTCCCAGCCTCCCCAATTTGTTTTGAAACCTTTTTTTTTCATCTCGACTGGGTTACCTTTTTCCTTTCCCCATGGCTCTATTTATTTTACCCTTCATTCTTCCTTAGTAAAAGAACTTCTTGATTTTGTCTAAAGACAGAATATAGCGCCCCCCCCACTAATCCTTTGAGGGTTTGACGGGAAAACTAACATCAGTTATCTTTATTTTGTGTATTTGTTTTGATATTTTAGTTTGTTTTTGGGGTTCATCCACCCCTTCATTGCGTATCATTTACAGATTTTCATATATAGAATTTTATGCTTATTAAATTTTTATGTCATGAGGTATGTTTTGTAGGTACCCTGAGAGTATGCGGTATTGTGGTATATAGAGTATTGAATGATGGTGGATGAGTTCTTGTGGTGAATGTGCAAATTGTAACAAATGAATGGGTCGTGAATCGTTTTAGCTAGGTAGAAGAGAGTAAGTGACCACCCAGCCTCAACCCATTCCCCACTTTTAGGGCTTGTACAACAATTATATTTTATATGAAATAAATCTTGGCAAACGCAGTCTTAGTGCTGAGTAGGGATATTAAGGTTTTTAAGTTTTACCTACTGTCTATGTAAACAGGAGTGGTTGATCGGCTTAAAGGTAATTAGATTTTAATGAAATATCTTTTGCATATAACATTAATCTGGGGTTGTATTATTTTTTTAGTCATTGTACACATTTATTGTTACCCGTTTTTTTTTTTTTTTTTGTCATAAATTTTCTTTTTAATTTGTCTGCTTTTATTGCTGTAATATAAATGTTTCCGAAATTCTAATTTGGTATTGCATTGTTACAAGATGCGTTTATAAAAGACCTGGGTAGAACGAGACACAATTTGCTGACATCGATTAACCAAAACGTGCCAGCCAATATTCGCAATGGCCAGGTGGGAAATTTACCTAGGTACGTTAATGTATCAGATTCAGCGAAATTTAATATTTGTTTAAAAAAACTAGCAGTGAGCGCTGTTTTATATCCCGGACAGGTTCTCAAACTGATTAAGGCTAAAAGTGATTATCATCTGAAAAATCTAGAGTTTCTCGACATTCAGTCAACGATCTAAACAGAATGAGTGTTTGGTGGACATAATTAGTCATTGTGGGTTAGAGTGGTCAATATCACACACACACACACACACACACACACACACACACACACACACACACACACACACACACACACATATATATATATATATATATATATCGACTCTCTCCCGTCGTATTCGACGTGTATGAGGGTCAAGCAGAACAGTTCCCAGGAAACCGACAGCCCGACAACAGCACATGAGATTTGATTATAGTGGTGAAGTTTTTGTGCAGGACCATCCACACTTTTTGAAGAGCCGAATACAGAGACCTGGTGCACTAAGTGCCACAAGGTCCCCAAACGACCCTCCGGAGGTTTGAAATTCAGAGTTGTCCTTCTCGTAGACCAGTTGCCATCCAAGGCTATAGAACCAAGTCTGTCCTGCTATTTACACATAGCTGGAGAGAAGAAGAGGATTCATACCTTTTCCAAGGGTATTAGCACGTATATATATATATATATATATATATATATATATATATATATATATATATATATATATATATATATATACCATAAATCATTTATTCAAACTTATAACATAAAAATGTTATAAAATCACTACAAAAATAATCATTTTGTTTCAATTACTTCTTTTGTTTTCTCAAGTAATGGTGATGATTCAACACCATCATTCTATAAGACATCAGAATTATTGAAACAAAATGTCTATTTTTGTAGTGATTTTATAACATTTTTATGTTATGATTTTAATAAATGATTATATTTGATGTATTAAGTAAATTCTTTATTCCGTATACACCAATTCTATATTATATATATATATATATATATATATATATATATATATATATATATATATATATATATATATATATATATATATATATATATATATATATAAATATTATGTTGTTATATATTCATATGCACATATTAATCCATTTAAACCCACAGAGACATCCACGAAAAAACCTTTATTATTATATAAAGAATAATTCCTGTCCACGTTCATAATTATATGGACACTTATTCTACGATACACATTGTCATTTGTTTTCAGAAGTAAGCCGAGCTATGCGCATGTTCCTTAAAAACGCGAGAGCGCATGCGTCGTAACCGAGTCTGGCTAAAGCGAGGACAGCGATGCGTCAAAACACGTCGAATCTCATTCATTTTCTTCCGTTCTTTCAATAGTTAAGCTGTTACTTGTATTATTAAGTCATTGAACGATTAACTTCTTTCTTTCATTGTTGATTTATGATCGTGTTTATCGCTGGATGATGCGGTGAAGGGTTGGGTTGGTTGGGGGAAAGAATAAGAAACGGAGCATAGGAGGTGAGAGAGGGAGTGCAAGGACAAATGAAAAAAAAATGGCAGAAAAATGTGAATTCACAACAACAAAAATATAAGAAAAAAGAAACTAAAGAGGAAATGATAGGAAGAGGTGGGGAAGGGGTCAGTGAAAAGGAAAAGAGAAACAAAAATAAAGCAAAAGAAGAAATGATGAAAAAGAAGAAAAATGGCGAGATGAAAAGAAATAAAAAAAAGGAAGAAAAGTGATGAAATCTGTTGAAAAGTGGGTAGTAGGAGTAGGTAAATAATAAAAAATAGATGGGAGGTATGATGACATGAAGAAAGGAAGATAGATAGATAGATAGATAGATAGAAAGAAAGAAAGTGAGAAGGCGATACATTAAGAAATGCAACAGATGAGAAGAAAGAAGTTACGGTCTTTTTGAGCAAAATAAGAACATATGTTAAATCAAATGAAAACATAATAGAAAGAAAATAAGATGTTAATGGCTGGATAATAGGAAAGAGATTAAAAAAAGAGGAAGAGGAAGAGGAGGAGGAGGAGGAGGGAGAAGATGAAGAGAAGGAATAATAATAATAATAATAATAATAGTAAGAAGAAGAAGAAGAAGAAGAGATGAAAATGAAACAACTGACATGAACAAAAATAGGAAGAGGAGGAGGAAGAAGAAGAAGAAAAAAAAAAAGAGGAAAGAGGTGGAAAAGAAGATGAAGAGGAGGAGGAGTAGAAGAAGGAATCTAGAGGAGGAGGAGGAGGAGGAAGAAGAAGATCTAGAGCAGGATGAGGAAGAAGAAGAAGAAGAAGAAAAAGACGAAGAAGAAGAGGAGCAGGAGAAAAAGAAAATGAAGAGGAAGGAGGAAGAAAAGAAGAAGAAGATGAAGCGGGAGAGGAGAAGGAAAAAAGAAAAAAATGAAGAGGAGTAGGAGAAGAAGAAGAAGATCTAGAGCAGGATGAGGAGGAGGAAGAAGAAGAAGAAGAAGAAGAAGAGGAAGGAGGAGAAAAAGAAGAGAAGAAAATGAAGAGGAGGAGGAAGAAGAAGAAAAAGAGGGAGGAGGAGGAAGATGAAGAGGAGGAAGAGTAGATGAAGAATATGAAGAGGCAGTAGGAGGAAGAGAAGGAGAAAATGAAGAAGAGGAGGAGGAGGAGGAGAAGATCCAGAGCAGGATAAAGAGGAGGAAAGAAGAAGTAGAAGAAGTAGAAGAGGAAAGAGGAGGAAAAGAAGAGAAGAGGAGGAGGAGGAAGAAGAAAAAGAAGAAGAATATGAGGTGAAGGAGAAGAAGAAGGAGATCTAGAGCAGGAGGAGGAGGAGGAGGAGGAAGAAGATCTAGAGCAGTATGAGGAAGAAGAAGAAGAAGAAGAAGAAGAAGAAGAAGAGCAGGAGAAGAAAAATGAAGAGAAAAAAGAAGAAGAAGATGAAGCAGAGGAGGAGGAGAAGAAGAATATCAAGAGGAAGTAGGAGGATAAAAAGAGAAGAAGGTGAAGAGGAGGATGAAGAGAAGAAGAAGAAGAGGAGGAGGAAAGAGGAGGAAAAGGAGATGAAGAGGAAGGAGGAGGAAAAGAAGAAGAACATGAAGACGAGGAGAAGAAGAAAAAGAAGATCTAGAGCAGGAAGAAGAGGAAGAAGAAGAGGAAGAGCAGAAGAAGAAGAAAATGAAGAGGAAGGAGGAGGAAAACAAGAGGAGGAGGAGGAGAAGAAGAATATGAAGAGGAAGGAGGAGGAATAAAAAAAGAAAATGAAGAGGAGGAGGAGGAGAAGAAGATGATGATGATGATGAAAAGGAGCAGAAGAACGGAAACAGAGAGAAGAAAAGTAACGATTAAACACAAGAAAAAGACGGATATAAATACAAATAAGAAAGAGGAAGAGAAGAAGGAAAAACAAAGCGAAAAAAACGAGAAAAGTAAGTAGATAAAGTCCGACAAGAAAATATAGTAAGGCCATGAATAATGAGAAGAGAAGTGAAGAACAAGATGGAGAATAAGGGAAAAAAGAAGGAAAAATCAAGAAGAAGAGAAACATCATTAAAAAAATCTGTAAGAAGAGACAGTGAGGCCATTGAAATTTTTAATATTATAATATGAAGAATAAAAGTTTTAATGCTGATTGTTTCATAAGAAAAATAATAAATTCCACAAAAGAAATAAGCACAGAATCTCTATTAATAACGATAATGATAGATTTAGTAAAAATATTGATGACAATAACACCAACAACAATAATGAGGAATGAATTATTTTTATTCTTAAAGGACAAAATGGAGGCGCATTTCGAAAAGGAAATAGAGTAATAAGAAGTGGATAAAAACAATTGAATTTTGAGGAGAATTAAATCGAATATAAAAGAATAAAATGAAGTTAAGGAAAGGTAGGAAAAACACAGATACACGATTTTAGAGAAAGAAGGAGTAAGGAAAGAAAAGAAGCGATATTTGGGAAGGAATAAAAAGAATGAAAGGAGAAAAAAATCGAAGCAAAGTGGAACGGGAAAGAAGGAATGAATGAAAAAATAAAAAAGGAATGAAAAGTAGAAAAATAAGAAATCATCAGAAAATAAAAACAATAAAACATTTGTTGGTCGGGCAACAAAACAAAATGAAGCTGTCTTTAAAAATATCTGGTGATATGGACGAAAGAAAGAAAGAAAGAAAGAAAGAAAGAAAGAAAGAAAATGACCCTAGAAAAACAACAAAAACACAGGTGATACGAAATAATTTTGGAAATAAGATGAAACATACTAAGAAAGAGAGAGAGAGAGAGAGAGAGAGAGAGAGAGAGAGAAAGAAAGAGAGAGAGAGCCAAACAAGCAAAAAGGTGAACCCTATACACACGAACATATATACGCAGACAGACGTATATATATATATATATATATATATATATATATATATATATATATATATATATATATATATATATATAAGTAGGAGGATTTGATAAACATATAAATAAATTCATTGATTCTGATATAAACCTCAACAATTTAATACGAAAAGATGGACAATAGTTGAACGTCCTCTATTTTCCTCAAAGGTTTATATTATGATGCATATTAAATATAATATATATATATATATATATATATATATATATATATATATATATATATATATATATATACACAAATCATAAAGTTCGTGTGCACTTTAAAAAAATTATAACTTTATTTGTATTTGCGATAGAAATAATTCATAAAAAAAAAAGGATTAGAAAGAAGTAAATCTATATTGTTTAAGGTTTTATTGAAATTTTATTTAAGTTTCCACATATCCTCCATCATTAGTAATACAAAGGGTAATACGATTTTGCAGTTCACGGAAAACATTTGCCAACTGATTTACAGTAATGCCTGAAATCACATTAGTTATTTTAGCTATACTTAAAACTAGGTACATTAAACTTTATAACATTTTTTACAGGTCAAATACAAATAGGGAGTTACACTCGACTTCAAATGTTTGAGGAACACGTGGTAATTTAAATAGGCCTAAAAAGTAGTTGTTTTGTACTTTAAATAAGAGAAAATTTTTATACATGACTAAAAAAAAAAGTCGTACATATAGGAGCTTTTATAGATAGAGTCAGTGGGGAGACTGGAATCAACGTTATATAGGGAGTGTCCGTTCCAAGATTCAATGAGAGATACCATACAGTTCTGCTTGCTATGTCCTTAAACACGTATAGTAGGACGAAGAATTACTACTATTTCCCGCTTACAATATGCACGTTTTTTCCCTAAAAAATAGCCTGAAAAATATGTGTGCAGCTTCCAAGACGAATGTAAGACAACGCGCAGACTCAAGTAAGTTTGAACGGTCACTTAATTGGCTTGACTGATAGGGACGTGGATTTTGTATGTTGAGTCATTACGCTATAATATTAGCTATCTAATTCAGCCTTTTATATGATGTAACCTCAGTACTTAGATGTTACAAGTATTTCCAATACTATAAACCTTCCTAGAGCCGAGCCACACACATAAAGATCACTGTTTACTAGTAGCGTCGGAGCCGTTATACTCTTGACTAATATGTCATTGCCATACAAACAAAATCGAACGAGTGATTAATGTAAACAATATGTGGCGCAAGTATATGTGGGACGTATAGTGAATGTGTTGTATGAGAATGAATTATTTCTGAGAAATTGCTTTACAATATTAGGGTGCGTCTTCTAAGACTCAATGATTTGTAAGCCGGAAAATACGGTATTCAAACTCAAGGTTAATATCCTTATTTTTTTGATTAGGAATTGATTTGGTAACATCTTCTTAGTCTTAGTAAAATGGTTTCTTATGTAAAGTGATCCTTAATCAGAAAGAACGAATAGCAATATTTTATTTCCAGAGTTTATTTTTATTATAATAACTTTTGCAAATGCATTCAAATTTCTCAACAACTGAGGCACTACCAACTCTGCTAATAGAAGATTTCTGTCGCCTTCGATAAGGCTTCTGCGTCTTTCAAAATTGGCCAACATTCTTTTATACAGAATTATTCCAAGTTGTTAAAACTCGATGGATTCCATTTCTGAAGAGAACATTTCAATTCATGCTATAAATATTTGATTGGATTTAGGTCAGGCGAATTAAAAACCCTTCCTTTACCATAACCCTATACTTCATAAAGCATTCTGTGCTGGTGTATATTTCTGGCTTTTATCTTCTTTGAAACTCTGGATATAATTACATATTTTCAAAAAAAAAAAAAAAAAAAATGGACTGATATTTCAGCGAATTTATTTCGCCTGCGTTCCAAGTAAATTCCTCGATACCTGCTGCGCTAAAGCAACCCGACTAAAACGATGTCTTCACTAGCATTCTTCATCTCCGGGATATCTTTTACATAGTGTAGCTTTTATTCTTCTTTCAAATGTGATATTACTGGATTATTCTAAATGTTTTCTTTTAGCAGATACGAAACAAGTTTTTTTCTATACTCAGGTGAGACACGTTTGGAACAAATGACTATTGACAATCTTACTTCAGCCTCCAATAAGCCTTCTGCATCAATCTTACTTTAACCTCCAATAAGCCATCTGCATCAATCTTACTTCAACCTCCAATAAGCCGTCTGCATCAATCTTACTTCAGCCTCCAGTAAGCCTTCTGCATCAATCTTACTTCAGCCTACAATAAAGCTTCTGCCTCAATTTTACTTCAGCCTCCAATAAACCATCTGCATCAATCAATATTCAGCCTCCAACGAGCCATCTGCATCAATCTTACTGCAGCCTCCAATAAACCATCTGCATCAATCTTATTTTTTTTTAATAAGCCTTCTGCATCAATCTTACTTCAGCCTCCAATAAGCCTTTTGCATCAATCTTACTTCAACCTCCAACGAGCCATCTGCATCAATCTTACTGCAGCCTCCAATAAACCATCTGCATCAATCTTATTTCAGCCTCCAATAAGCGTTCTGCATCAATCTTACTTCAGCCTCCAATAAGCCATCTGCATCACTCTTACTTCAGACTCCAATAACCCTTCTGCATCAATCTTACTTCAGCCTCCAACGAGCCATCTGCATCAATCTTACTTCAGCCTCCAATAAACCATCTGCATCAATCTTACTTCAGCCTCCAATAAGCCTTCTGCATCAATCTTAATTCAGCCTCTAATAAGCCAACTGCATAAATCTTACTTCAGTCTCCAATAAGTCTTCTGCATCAATCTGTTACATATGTATCCAATTTCTGCTTTACATTTGGTGGGCTATTTTTGACCTCTGAAACGTTTTTAATTATGTTCCAAATGTGCTGTTTTTGTTTCGTATAACCCAGTAATCGATTAATTAAATCATTAGTCCAATAATCCTTTAATTACTCCATTAATCCAGTAATCCATTAATTCCAGTAATCTTTCGACTGATTCCAAAGCCTTTTATAGATATCCCTAGACTTGGCCAGCGGAACGAGAAAAATCTACTCCGGAGGTTATGTAAAAAGGGTCCAGTTTGAAATTCCCTAAATGTTACTCGGGTCGTAAAGCACCTGGTGAAGGCTGCAGCACACAGCGGCCGAATCGTTGTGATAACAACAACAAAGGCAAGTCCTCTCGTAAATAATGAATCATTTTATTTTATCTTTCTCCTTTTTATTTGTGGGGCCAATCTTTTAAAAATTGATGAGGCATGCACAAATCGGCGAGACAATTTGTACATGTATTTGTAGGGCAGACAAAGCACTGAAGAGCAGCCCACATGTTTTCTCTTAGGATGCTGCCGTAAGCCTTCTTTAGTGTATAGGACGTGAAAAATAGAGGTCGCTGTAGTTCGCGAATTTTTCCTCGGGTGCAGAATATCATGCCAGTTGTCTTGCAGTTGGCGCGGAAGCTACTTTGGGATTCCTGTAGTATATCCTTTTTTTTAAACCCTTCAAGATTTTAGCGGAGTATATATATATATATATATATATATATATATATAGGACTGTGTAACGGAATAAAAAATATTATATATATATATATATATATATATATATATATATATATATATATATATTAAAAAGTAAAGACAGTCTATGTTGGGTAAATTTAACCATCGTCTTTTCTAAACTACGAATCTAATTTTCTGCAAACCTGCCTGCCCTATATACAGAAAATATTAAAAAAAATATGGCTGTGTACGAGTTTTCCACTAACATGTACCATCTTCAGTAGGGCGCAGAATTAAATTAAGAAGTGTTTTAGTAAATTTTAAAGTATTTTTTATATACTTTCAATGCATGAACTACGATAATTAAAATAAATACGTACATACACACTGGGTGCAGGATGACTCATCACCGCTAATCCAATGGCGCCGACTCAAAACCGCCGACTCAAAATATGAGTCCTCCGACAGGAATCAAATTTTCTATGAAGATTTCTCGGACATTCAGGCCGCTAAATGTCGTTAATATTGTTTATTATAAACAGAGCATTTACTTAAATATTTGTATCCATAAAAAGAATGTATAAACATAAAAAATGTCTTAAAATATTTATCGGACTTTGTCCATTTCATAATGTGTGACGCCATTTGTTTACATTTGGATAAGCATCAAGCACATATGAATGACTGAGAGAAAATCATGGAGAATTCTAATTTCAAAACAGTAAAATCAACCTTGCTAACCGAAACGCTCCTCTGTGGCTAAATCGGTAAAGCACGTCAGGCTATATGACGGTTCCGTATAGGAAACAAGTTCGATTCCTGTCGGAGGACGCATATTTTCTATGACAATTTCTCGGACATTCAGGCCGGTAAATGCCGTTAATACTGTTTATTATAAACAGATCATTTCCTTAAATATTTGTATCTATAAAAAAGGGCGTATAAACATAAAAATGTCTTAATATATATATATATATATATATATATATATATAATGAGAGAGAAAGAGAGAGAGAGAGAGAGAGAGAGAGAGAGAGAGAGAGAAGGGTCATGTATGGCTTTTCAACTGTCCATCAGCCTTGGTGATGTATCAACCAGAATTCAGTATATAGCGCCATCAATTTATTGATTTCAACATATAGAGCCATCAATTTATGTTGCTGGCAGTCGACTTAGGTTTGTACGCCTTGGTAGCCCCCTCAACTGCCACTGCTCTCTTGACGATTAGATAGCGTTATGGATTAAGAAAGCATCCGATGCAGCACTCAAGTTTCGTGTCTGGAGTTCGAAGGGCATAAAAAGCAGACAAAAATTAAAATATATAATGCCTGGGTTATATCATCTTTGCTAAAATCATGAGAGACATGGATAGTCTATCGCAGGCATCTGAAGATACTGGAACGTTTTCATCAACGATGCCTTTGGTCTGTACTTGAAATCTTTTGGATGTCTCACACCCCTGATATTGTTGTTCTGCAAAGGGCCAATTCACTTCTGTGGAAGCACTTATACACAAACACAGATTGCGATCGACGGACCATGTTGTCCGTATGGCGGATGACAGAATTCCAAAACAATATATGGAGAATTGGAAATGGGGAAAAAGATCGCAGTACAAGCCGAAACTTCATTGAAAATATTGCCTTAAAGAGTCACTATACGAGTGCAATACTGATGTGGATAAATGGGAGACTCTTGCTGAAGACCGGATTTCTTGGAGAGATGGTATTGCTGATGGCGTTAAGTTCTTCCATGAGATATCACAAAATTGTTAAGGAGAGGATTTATTTAAACTTTTGTCTCAAGCGATAGACAAAAATCAGTACAGGGATTCTACTACATACAGAGAAGTTGGTATTGCTTTGTAGCTGTATATAAAGATCATATGAGCATAATGTATAATGTTTACATGGATGTAAGCATTATTGTATAGATGTATGGCAGATAACGGCAAAACAATTAATGTATTGAGAATTGGAAATGGAAAAAAGACTGCAGCAGAAGCTGAAACTTTGTTACAAAGAGTCGCTATACAAGTGCAATATTAGTCTGAATAACTGGGAGACTCTAGCTGAATACCAGGTTTCTTGGAGAGCTGGTATTGCTGATGGCATCAAGATCTTTCATGAGGCATAACAAAAATATGCAAAACTGAAGTGAAGGGTTTGGAAGGGGTCGCTGAATTGACATGAATTGCTAACCTGGCCATGTGCCAAATGCAATCGGATATGTCTGTCCAGGGCGGGTCTACTCAGTCACCAGAAACCACACTAGAAGTGATGATGATCAAAGTCAACTTCCACCACCCGGAGATGATTTGATATACGACATATGTAACAAGAAATGCAGATCAATGGCTGGCTTTATGAGCCATAACCTAAGAATACAGTGTTATGGGGGATGTTTAATTAAAGGCCTGGACATGTCAGGAACCCGAAGGAGGCTGCGCAGAAGGGCGGAGTCTCCTTCGGGGAGGTAAAACCGGCCCTGAACCCGTTTATACGGGTTCAACGGGCATATTTTTGGCCGAGCCCACGGGCTCGGAATGCCCACGTTAAAAAGGCCTTGTGCCACATGACATCCTCGTGGGGGGGGTGACTGAATATCGTCAGTGATGGTCATACTCGCTTTGAGGGTCGACAGCCACTATATATATATATCTAAAGTATGCATTGGTAGCAAGGATTCATTTAATCTAGTTTTGTTAAGTGTACATGTTTCATCAAGTCGTAGAACATTTGTAAACACCTGAAACAAATTAGTAATACATGTAAATACGTTTTTCCTGATCTTTTCGTTTATTGTCTACCATCAATTTTGGTTTGACGGAAGATTCACTTGTATTTTCGAGTCAGCCGTTCCTTTAGAAAACTTCCTTGAACAAGCCGATCTTGTAAGCGGTGATACATTACCAATTTTTTTTCTTCTATTTATGAACGATAAATACGACATTAGATCGGCGTTTGTCAAGTCGCATGAAAATTTATATATTTATATATTTCCCGACATTGTGAAATCACAATCAATGTATATTTCAGTTCCTTGGATCTGTCGTTAGTTTTCGTTATCATTTCAAAGGAACAAAAAAAAAAAAAAGAAAAAAAAGAAAGAAAATCGTATATGCTTTCTAAAGTTATCGCGTGTATTTCAACGTGCAGAATGGTGGATAAGAATGGTTTTCTAGCTATTGTGCGTCATATATTTGATAATACACATATATTTTTCTTTGTTTTCTTTTAATGTTCCGTGTCGTTTCAGGGCGTAGGCGATCATGGCTCTCCACGTCCTTCTAACTC